AGTTTAACCACTGGTCGTACGACGCTACCTGACCGCGTTAAAACTCGAGCAACACGGACATGACCATCAGTACCGGGAAACAACTCTACTATGCGACCGAGTCGCCACATCAGGGGGGGGCTTTGGTTGTCTACTACCACGACCATATCGTCCACCTTCACATTGGGGACACCCTTAGTCCACTTGGACCTCTCCTGTAGCGTAGTCAGATACTCAGAGGACCAACGGCGCCAAAAAGACTGATGGCACTGATCCATCAACTTCCACCGATCGGTTAAACTACGGACGGGCTCTGGCCCCGATCTAGGCGGAACGGTAAGAAGCGGTTGACCTATTAAAAAATGACTAGGCGTCAAACACTCGAGGTCGTGCGGGTCCGTAGAGGAGGGCGTGAGCGGACGCGAGTTTAGAACGGCCTCTACGCGCGTTAATATAGTCGTAAACTCTTCGTACGTGAAAATGTGTGTCCCTATGACTCGTATCAAAAGTCGTTTTGTCGATCTCACCGCCGCTTCCCATAAGCCTCCGAAGTGGGGAGCACTAGGCGGATTGAAGTGCCACTCGCAGATAGCACGCGAATTGGCGATAGCGGCCCGACCTTCCGGACTGTGGATAAGCGCGCGTAATTTCTTATCGGCCCCGACGAAGTTAGTGCCGCAGTCCGAGAACACGTCGCTAGGTAAACCTCGACGGGCAATAAAACGATCGAACGCAGCTAGAAAGGCGTCGGTCGACAAATCGGTCACCACTTCGAGGTGGACAGCTTTCGTAGTAAAACAAATAAAAACCGCAATATAAATTTTGAAAACGCGTGATTTGCGTAGTCTAGTCTCGCGCATCTGTAAGGGGCCCGCATAATCGACGCCTACACGCTCGAAAGGTCGTCGCTGTTGGACACGAGTGTCGGGCAAATCTGCCATTAACGGTTGTACACGTTTAGCATCGAACCGCACACAAACCGAACAGTTTGTAATAATACTATGTAACACCGATCGAAGCGATATGATCCAAAATCGACGTGAAATAAGCGCGGTAAGAACTCGCGGGCCTGCATGACAAGTCACCAGGTGCCAACGATGGCACAATAAATATGCGTAATGCGAACGCTTGGCCAACAAAATCGGATGCTTACAGTCATAAGTTAATAATGAATGCCGCAGGCGTCCGCCAACGCGAATAACACCGTCCGGATCGATAAAGGGCGCTAAACGAGCAAGCGGCTTGGACGAAACATGTTYACCTGTCGACAACTCGTGTAACAGCACGGCGAAATGTACGCGCTGGGACTCAGCCTCTAATATGCGAGCGGCGTTATCTAATTCCGACTTTTGCAAATATGCGGGCGCGATTTGGTCCGGTTGTCGACGTATTCGCCGAATACCGGCGGCAATAAACCGGCGCATATACGCCACTACTCGTAACATACGGTCATAACTAGAAAAACGATTAAACCATTCGACTTCAATTTCGTCAACACGGGCGGCACAGGACACTGGACGAAGTTCGGGCAGGTCACATAACGGTAGCGGCGGACGAGCATCGTCCCATTCCGATGGGTCGCAATACGCTAGTTGTGGGCCGTGCCAATACAAATTGTGCTGCGCTAAGGCAGCCGGCATGATGCCGCGCGACGCGCAGTCAGCGGGGTTATTGACCGAGTCAACATGCCGCCATCGACAGTCCGGCAGTAAAGTGCGAATTTGGTGCACTCGATTCGACACATAAATTTTAAATGCTTCGTGTGGGGCACCTAACCATGATAACACTATCGTGGAATCTGACCACGCATTTATGCCGACAATATTAAGTTGCGGGGCCAAAATGTCGCGAACGCGACTTAACCAACGAGCCAATAACAACGCGGCGTTTAATTCTAATCGGGGGATGGTTAATGATTTTATGGGCGCTAATTTAGTTTTCGTACCAATTAAAAATACGGACGCGTTAACATCGACGTCAGCCATACGCACATACACGACCGCCGCGTAGCCGAGTTTCGAGGCGTCACAAAATCCAATTAAATAGCACGGCGCGCCGTGACTTGAGTTCAAATAACGCGGAAMCCGAATATTTAATAACGACGGTAGGTCAGAAACGAACGCGATCCATTCATCGTGAATATTGTTTGGTAAAGGATCATCCCAAGTCATGCCGAGATGCCAGGTACGCTGCATTATGGACTTAGCTAAAAATACCGCGGGA